TATTCATGGTCCATATCAAAGCGGAAAGACAACCCTTTTGTTAGGACTCAAGGAGACACTCAAGGGTGAAGGCTTAAATTATGTGCATTTTGCGATGTCACGAATGCAGGGTGATATATTATTAAACAAACGACAAGGATTTTTCAACTTCATGTCATATGCTCTCTTTAATGAAAGACTTGCTCAGTACATGAATGAGACTCATTTCAATCTAAAAGATGAAATAAACAGGATGAGTGATGATGAAAGGAGACATATTCGCAAACTCACAGACTATAGGACAGATTGCTGGAAGATGGATTTATCTTATTTAACTGCGCTCAATGACCTAGATAAGAAATTATTCAACATTGGAATTCTTTTCCGCGCAGATGCAAATTTAGTTTGTTTTACAAGCTGTATTATCCTGCTTGTTTGCATTGAGGCTCTCTTTCCTACAACTCGAGAATCTTTACCAAAACATGTTCTGAAAGATCCCATTGAGTTATTAATATTTGGATTAAAATTTATTGATCCTAGCACAATCATCGACGAAAGAGTTCGAAATCAAGGTCCATCAGAAAGAACTCTACAGGCAGCACTTTTTCGCGTCCTTAATGGCTTATTGCCCTACCCAATGATGTGCTTGTTTGAGGTAAATGCCAGTGGTCGAACTCATCTTGATCTGATGATAGTTGATAACGATGAAATTTTAGCGACTTATTCACTCAAATGTAATAAAATATCGGAAGCTGATTTCAGGGATCCATTAAAGCAAGCTAAAATATATGCTGATGACTTTGGCACGGATATATGCCTTGTCAATTTCATTCTAAAAGGTCATAGAAAACCATGTACACTTTATGGTGTTCCCGAGGAAATCATTTTGGTGAATGTCATATTCAATGCTGAATTCACCCAATTTGAAATTCAAACAGAATCTCTTGATGGCTATCAAACAGTTAATGTAACTGGCGATTCTAATCACCGAGAAAATCATGCTAGAATTACAAAATAACTAGTTTTCAGTCATTATTGCAGTCTAGCGGGTCGAATGTTAATATTAACAAAATAAGATTAAAATCCTGTAATGTAAGGAAATCATTATATAAATGTTATAAACAAAATCTTAACGTCGAAATGGATTGCTTATATAATTTTTTTTGGTATATTTTTTTTATTATATTGTAGAAATAATCAATCTTGTTTTTGTTAAATGTGACAGGCATACTGATATTTTTCTTAGCAAAATGTTCGTTCAACATGGCAAATAGTCATGAGCACAAGGTATTTGACATTATCATAGTATGAGTTTAAAAACATCAATGATTCTATATGATTTTCAAAGAATCAATAATATTATATATACTGTTACGG